GGGGGAGAGGGGAGTAGATGAGAGCAAGAGTGGAGGGAAATGGGATAAGAAATGGGAGGGAGAACCTGGAGGAGGGAAGGAGAGAGGAGGGAAAACAAGAAACCTGACTCTGTGAGGGCGAAAAATTCAGAAAACATTTTTTAAAAACCCTTAAAAATAAAAACAAAACCTTAATAAGCATCTTCAAAAAAGTAAAAAGATATTATGTGCTCATCTCTTGATATACTAGCAGGATCCAATGAACCCAAGTTTAGTTTTTGAGTTTCCTTTTTCAGTAGTTCTAACAATTGTACGGAAAGTCATTTTATGACATTTTTTCTGTCTTAGCAGTCTCCCAAGGATCACTATAAAAATACAAGTTTTACTGTTTTAAATAGAAAAAAACACATTCTTGCTTCTCACTGTCATATGGCTCTACCATACATTTTTAAAGTATAAGATACATTACAGGATCTTAGATATCTGTTTCCCTACTATATCATGAAATACTTTGCCATTTGATTATCCTAGTAATTACTTCATTATTATTCCTATCTGTGCTAAAAAAGACCATTTTTTTTTAACTTATTTCAGAGAGAGGAGGGGAGAGGGAGAGGGAGACAGACAGAAACATCAATGATGAGAGTCACTGATTGGCTGTCTCCTGCAGGCCCTCTACTGGGGATGGAGCCCACAACCAGGGCATGTGCCCTGACCAGGGATGGAACCACGATCTCCTGGATCCTAGGTTGATGCTCAACCGCTGAGCCACACCGGCCAGGCAAGATGACAATTTTAAAAATGGAAAAAGATGGAATTGCCTAGAAGAATGATGTAAGATTGAAATTAATCATTGCTGTACTACATCACTCAAAGTATTATAACATCTTTCAAGAAGATATAAAAGGAATTTGAAGACACTATCTTTGGAGTTTCTTCTTTAGCTTTATTTAAACACAGTTAAGAATTAAGAAGTGAAAAGGTTTTGCGAATAGTAACAGAGAAGAAAACTGACAGAGCAAGTCCTTTAACCATTAGTGGAGGAATAAGAAACCGAATGTAGACATGGCAGCACTTTAAGTCCTGTTGATAATGAATGTATTTTGAAGAAAACAACTCTCTGAAGGTGGTCTTAAATTTTGTAAAATTTCATAATAGACAAAACACAAGGACAAAGAGATCATTAGTCTAACAAAATCCAATTCAGGTAGCTCTGGCCGATGTGGCTCAACTGGGCCTTCGTCCTGTACACCAGAAGGTCTCTGGTTCAATTCCCAGTAGATACCTGGTTGGGGCGAGGAAGGGGAGGCAACCAATCAATGTCTTTATCACATCAAAGTCTCTCTGCCCCACTCCCTCCCCACCCTCTGCTTCTCCTTTCTCCTCTTTCTAAAATCAATAAACATATCCTTGGGTGAGAATTAAAAAAAAAATCCAATTCAGCTTCTACAAAATCACATATTATAAATTTATTTGTAATTGACTGTGCAAACTCACATTTCATATTTGCACCAGAGAACTATTTACTACTTATATTTGTTATTTTTGTTGCAGGAATTCTACATTACTCCTCTCATTTTAAAATTCAAAATGAGTCACTTTCATAAATTGAGGAGATAAGGCAACAACAAAACTGCAAATTTAATAGGCATAAACAATAATAAATAAACTTAAATGTTAGCCAAGCTGAACTGACAGAGCCCAGAAATATAAAAGCTCTGTGGAGTTCAAATAATTTTACGAGTATAAAAAGCTTGAAAACCACTGATTTAGGGCATCAACAGTATTATACATTATGAAAGCAAATATTCATAAAGTCCTACATCTTATATAGATCACCACAGAGACAAGGGCTCTTCTAATTTCTACCACAGTCAAATTACAAACAAATAAAAACTGGCCTTCTTTCTTCCCATTTCACAATAAAAACAAATGCGGTTAAAAAAAAACAAATGTGGATAATGGATTGCTTGAAAGTAAAGCTCTATCAACCTTAATAGATTTATAATCCCTAAATTTGATTCCATGGAACCAGTTTCCGCAAATAAGAGTCAAAGTGGATTAAAAAGGGTCCCCTCTTCAAATAATTTCAAGTGAAAATATCTTAATAGGTTCCTTTACTAAAATTTTTCAGAGGTTATAATGTGCAAATATGCATTGTGATTCAAGAGCTGAATAAGTATGCAGAATTTCCCACTTTTTCACATAAACTTTCACAGAGCTGGTGTTTCTCCCAGTAAAAAGGCTTTGTTGAAAGCTTATGTAGCCCTGGCCAGTGTGGCTCAGCTGGTCGAGCATCACCCCATGTATTGAAAGGTTGCCAGTTCAGTTCCCAGTCAGGGCATGTGCCCAGCTTGTGGG